CCAAAAGAGAGAAAAAAAAACCAAAAGAGAGAGAGAAAAGAGAGAGAGAAAATAAAAACCAAGAGAGAGAGAGAAAGAGAAAATAAAAACCGAGAAGAGAGAGAAAAAAAACCAAGAGAGAGAGAGAGAAAAAAAAACCAAAAGAGAGAGATAAAAACCAAAATAAAAAATAAAAAACCAAAAAGAGAGAGAGAGAGAGAGAGAAATAAAAAACAAAAAGAACCAAGAAGAGAGAGAAAAAATAAAAAAACCAAAAGAGAGAGAGAGAGAGAGAGAGAAAATAAAAAATCAAAAAAAAAACCAAAAGAGAGAGAGAGAGAAAATAAAAACCAAAGAGAGAGAGAGAAAATAAAAAACCAAAAGAGAGAGAGAGAGAAAATAAAAAACCAAAAGTGAGAGAGAGAGAAAATAAAAAACCAAAAGTGAGAGAGAGAGAAAATAAAAACCAAAAGAGAGAAGAGAAAATAAAAAACCAAAAGTGAGAGAGAGAGAAAAAAAAACCAAAAGAGAGAGAGAAAAAAAAAACCAAAAAGAGAGAGAGAGAAAATAAAAAAAAACAAAAGAGAGAGAGAGAGAGAAAAAAAAGTGAGAGAGAGAGAAAATAAAAACCAAAAGAGAGAGAAATAAAAAAACCAAAAGAGAAAAAAAACCAAAAAGAGAGAGAGAAAATAAAAACCAAAAGAGAGAAAATAAAAAAAACCAAAAGAGAGAGAGAAAAATAAAAACCAAAAAGAGAAAATAAAAACCAAAAGAGAAGAGAGAGAAAATAAAAACCAAAAGAGAGAATAAAAACCAAAAGAGAAATAAAAACCAAAGAAAATAAAAAACCAAAAGAGAGAGAGAGAAAAAATAAAAAAAAAAGAGAAAAAAGAAAAAAAAAAAAAGAGAAGAAAAAAAGAAAAAAAAAAGAGAGAGAGAAGAAAAACCAAAAGAAAAAAAAAAAAAAACCCAAAAAGAGAGAGAGAGAGAGAAAAAAAAAAAGAAAGAAAAAGAGAGAGAGAGAGAGAGAAAAAAAAAACCAAAAGAGAGAGAGAGAAAAAATAAAAACCAAAGAGAGAGAGAAAAAAAAAAAAAAAACCAAAAGAGAGAGAGAAAAAAAACCAAAAAAAGAGAAATAAAAAACCAAAGAGAGAGAAAAAAAAAAAAAGAGAGAAATAAAAAACCAAAAGAGAGAAAGAAAAAAAAACCAAAAGAGAGAAAAAAAAACCAAAAGTGAGAGAAAAAAATAAAAACCAAAAAAGAGAGAAAAAAAAAAAACCAAAAGTGAGAGAAAAAAAAAAAAAAGTGAGAGAGAGAGAAAAAAGAGAGAAAATAAAAAACCAAAAGAGAGAGAGAAAATAAAAAACCAAAAGTGAGAGAGAGAGAAAAAAAACCAAAAAGAGAGAGAAAAAAAAAAAACCAAAAGAAAATAAAAACCAAAAGAGAGAGAGAGAGAAAATAAAAAACCAAAAGAGAGAGAGAAAAAAAAAAAACCAAAAGAGAGAAATAAAAAAATTAAAAAACCAAAAGAGAGAAATAAAAAAAACCAAGAGAGAGAAAAAAAAAAACCAAAAGAGAGAGAGAAAAAAAAACCAAAAGAAAAGAGAGAAAAAAAAAAAAACCAAAAGAGAGAGAGAAAAAAAAAAACCAAAAGAGAAAGAAAATAAAAAAAAAGAGAGAGAAAAATAAAAAACCAAAAGAGAGAGAAAAAAAAAACCAAAAAGAGAGAAAATAAAAACCAAAAGAGAAAAAAAAAACCAAAAGAGAGAAGAAAAATAAAAAACCAAAAGAGAGAGAAAAATAAAAAACCAAAAGAGAGAAAAAAAAAAAGAGAAAAAAATAAAAAAAAAAGAGAAGAAAATAAAAAACCAAAGAGAGAAAAAAAAAAACCAAAGAGAGAGAGAGATAAAAAAAAACCAAAAGAGAGAGAGAAAGACCAAAAGAGAGAAAGAAAAAAAAGAAAAATTTAGTGTCTTTTAACTATTTTTTTTTTTATTTAATCCACACCAGACATGAATGTTCCATTACCAAAAGATTCCGGTAAATTAAAAACCTTTCTTGCTGGTTTCACATTTGCCCAAATAGCAGGATATACTGATCTCTCTAGCTTTGGGTAGCAACCAGTTTAAGAGAAGAAAAAGCTTACATTCTACTACTACAGATAGTAATCAACTCCTTCCATGCTTTATGTTTCTTTTTCTATGCACCATGTTCCTTCAGATCGTTGGTGATCATGGCCCTCCACATCTTCCTGTGATTTGCAGCACTTAGTTAATTTTTTCTTTAAGCTAACTCTCCTAATCTGTTCTGCCAACCAATTACACAAGCTTATTAAATAATTTATTTACTAGTTTTTTCTGCTTCTCTTGCCTTCAATATGTCGTGTGAGTATCAAATTCTCTATGCCCTCTTTCTGCATTGTGGCAAAGAAATTTCAATTTTCTCTTTCCGATTCTAAGTATAATTATCCTTTTATTTTCCTTTTTCCTTAAAACATCCTCATGAATTACATTTTCAGTCTATGGATTTGCCTTAAACCTAATGATCTGTAAGGAGCTTTATTTTTCGAAAAGTCAAATAAGTCAAAAAATGGTGCTGTCTGCACTGGAGCTGCTCAATATTCATTTTCCACCCTTAATAGAATTCTTGCAAGCAATCATTTTCTACTCTACAGCCTCTTTTCCCCAGCACAGGTACAATGTTTAATCGCTATTTCTATGGCAAATAGTCACATGAGCTCCAATCAGTTCCATCAGTTAAGATCTTTTTAGACAGGACCTGTCAGCTATGTACACAGAGTTGAATCAGTAATTTCCTCTGGATTTAAGTAGGAACTTCCACTGAAAACAACTATTTCCAGTGAACTGCTACTCTGTCAAACTCCCATATGGATGCTTCCCTGAAGACAACACTATTAACCTCTTCATGTCATGGGTAAGTTTCTATATATCCTCCTTATCTTCATTTGCTTCTACTAATGTTCATATCACCCAACTCATTCAGCAAACACTTTAGCATGAGCTTTGTATTGGCTGTCTGTTAGTATTAAAAAAATACTATTAGGCAACATGGTATTATTACTCTCCTTCCACTCACAAACAAAATAGTCATTCACTAGGGTTAACATAGTATGCAAAATGCTTGCATATATATGCTTACCATTGGTCCTACATTAGCTGAGACTGTCTCAATTTGAACTGTTCTGGTGTGGGGAGTTCTTTTTCATCTAAGCATGTGGGTCAGTCCAAAAGGTTACGGGGTCTTGGATCATGAAAACACATTACTGTACAAGAAAATTCAACCTCTAATAAAAACTGAAAACAACTTGATTAAAGCCTAGAAATATATTAAAAGACAAAGGAAAACAGTGCATAACTGACCTAACAAGCTTGTGTAAATTCGTGGCAGAACAGAGTTTAGGAGAGATAGCAGAAAGACAAATTTGCCCAAGAGCAACAAAAGGCAGCAAAATGTTAAGAGTCATGATTGCTAAAATCCTAAAAGGACATGGCATATATAAGTAACAGATATGTACTTGTAAAAGTTTCAGAAAAATTAAGTCCATAATCCAGAGCTTATCAAAAAATAATTTGTAAAAGAGGTAATAGCCTATCTGTTATTTACACAATTAAAAGGGTCCATGTATAATTTTTTTATGATTGTATAAAATATGCTAATTTGTGGTAAGCAATTCAATTCGGCAAATCGAGTGATTATTAATGAGCTGTTTTGTAATTAAATAGAGTATAAATTCAATTAATTGCTGTTTAGTAATTAAACAAATCAGTTAATAGATGCTTAGAGTCTAAAAATCACAAGTAAATTAATTATTTACAAATTATTAATAAATTACAAAAAAGGAAATTATTATTGAATCAGTTTTTCAGAAACACAAAACATAACTAATCAATATTTATATCTAATCAATATTCTAGATAAAAAGCAACTATTGAGCAAAAGTATAAGAATTCTACATAAAAGCAATTATTTCATAATTATTACTGATTAAATTCAACTAATTTTGTTTTATCTCCTAGATTTTAGAGACCAGAGGAGACAAAACAATTCACTGACAGATCATAAGATTTTTATTAAAAAACATTCCTAATTTTGAGCAAAAGAATCTTTTATTTGATAACTGCATGCTAATAGCAATGATATCAAACCAGTTTCAAATATTTTAATTTCAAATTAACTGGTTCTAAATTTAAACCATGTAACATTTCTGTGTCATTTACTAAATTATGCCACTGATTATTATCAGAAAATTGAAAAAAAAATTACATCACATATTTATTGTCCTAGGCAAGCCTTGATCCAAAATGGAGAAAACTAGAGGCATTGAAAATTCTCAGTCAAATCTGCTTCAGAAAATTTCATGAAGTGAACAAAGCTCAGATATCTGGGCATCTTGGCTGGGCTCGGAATTTTTCAGCTCTAATGTAAAATATCAAACATTTATTTAGACTAGCAAAAACTAGATGTGACAGGTGCTGAAAAGTTCTCAATCAATTGCATTTTCCTAAAATCTGATGAAATAAGCAAACCATACATTTTTGTTGGTTAAGGGCATTCTTATTAGACTAAGAATTTTTCAGCAGTATCTCATAAAATATTAGACATTTATGCAAAATTAGAAAAACTAGATATGTAGGGAGTTCTGCATAATTTATCAACCAAACTTCCTTTCCAAAATCTAATGAAAATATGAGGAACCAAATTTTTATGGCAGAAGCCCATCTTTGCTCAACCAAGAATTTTTTTCATATGCCCCTCTAAAGGTCACACTTAAAAAAATAAAATTATTTTCAAGCAGAACCTTTCATTCTTCTTTTGATATATTATTTAAGTGTGTATACTTTTGAGTCTTTATTGTAATAATTTTTACATTTGTTTATCTATTATTTTATCATGGACAAATCCAAGAAGCAGAGATATGTCAATAGCCTGTCACAAAGATTTGTATCATGAACTCTTCTGGAATTGGCAAGAGATATTGGACCCTGGAATGTGATGAACATTCACAAAGGGATTTTCTTTTTAACCTTTCTATAGAGAAAAGAGGAGACTTTGATAGGAAGAGAGTCCTCATGGTGGTTGTTAGGTCGGTATAAAAAGGTTAGGAAGGACGTAATGCATAGATCATTTCGTGAGATGGAAGATTTGATACTGTGGTCTGGATGATTGAGATATTCCTGGAAGAAAGGCAGGGGAGGAGGAAGTAACTGGTTGCTGCAAAAATTAGAATAGAATGTCCGGTGACATTTTATATACATAGATACATACACGCACACACACACATTTATATATATATATATATATATATATATAATAAATAAATGATAACAATATGTTTTTGATATATGTAGAGACAGACACAGGAACACAAATAAGTTTATACATGTATTACTGCATACATACAAAGCAATGACAAAAAGTTGTCAGCTCAACCAAGAGGCCCTTTCCATACAAAAATCTACTTGATAATTGAGCCAGATTTTAAATAATGTGAGAGTGGGTCATAGTGAAACATTTTTAGCAGCCACTTGCATACATAAACAAATACATACACACATTATATACATAATGAGATACTAGTATATATTGCTATATATCAAGAACAATATTGAGGAAAATATATGACAAAGTGGAAAAAGTTTTCTTGTGACGTGTTTTGGACTAAATATTTGATATTGGTGCGACGACACATGCAAACAAACTAAAAATTTAATACACATTTATATATATATATATATATATATATATATATATATATATATATATATAGTATGTGTGTTTGTGCAACACCTCCACTCACACTGGTTTGATTTCAATGATTCAAAGCTCATTCAAAAGCCCTAGAAGAGTTAAGCGCAGGGAACAAGTTTCGTTGAGCTCAGATTCAGTTTTGCCAAATTATGCGAGGTTAAAAATATATGTTAACATATTATACTAGCCATTATTTCATGGTTCAAGTGGAATAACTCTTATTTTTCATTTGTATCTCAAATTGCAGCTAGCTTAAAAGCCACCCTATCAGGCATCATTTAAGCTAGCTCCTGGGGAGGACTCTTGGTTTAGCCATTGTCACAATAGCTAGGGAGGAGTAAATGCAATAGGCATTGATAAACTACAGAACAACTCAAAATTGATCACCACATTTAAGTATCAAATTGATCTTTTAAAGGTTCAATGATAACTCTTTTGCTGGCACTTAATTTAAAGACAATTTGATGTATGTAGATCCTTATTTTCCATACAAACAATTATTTTTATTTCAGGAAACAATCTATAAAATAAAATTAATATAGTGTAAAAAAGGGAAAATAGAAATTAGAATTAGTTATACATTCAAAATTCAAAAGTGTTAGAGAAACATAATAGCTAATTAAGTAAAACCTGTATTATGGAATCCATACGAATGAATGCAAAATTGGAGTTCAATCCTCCCACGAATTCTGTGGTTAAAAGTCCCAGCTCTACTTTATAGTAATTTGGTACTTACTCGATCCCCCACTGCCCGAAGTTGTCTTGTGACACAAGGTGGGTTTAATGTGGAGATCCCGAGTACATACACCCAGGCTAGGAACAAACATTTTCAGAGCCCACTACAACTCTGTGTGTGTGTGTGTGTGTGTGTGTGTGTGTGTGTGTGTGTGTGTATATTTTACATAGCTACACAAAAACTTTCATATTTTAGAACTATGATGTTCCTTCATTGGGCAATGATAGATAACTTATGATGAAAATGATTTATTCAGGAAACTACAAAACAAATCCTTAACTCATTTAAAAGTTAAAAAGGAGAGGGAAAAACCTTAATTTAAAAATTCAAAGACTTACTTGTAGGCATGTCTGGATTAACCAATTAAGAGACTGATCTAAGCTAAAAATGAAAATTATAGTTCCGAAACATGAGTTTTTGTGTAGCAATGTAAAATATTATAGTAATATTTTGCTCTACATTGTATGGAGCACTTTTTAAAAAAAAGTAAATGCCAGGTTCTTAATCAGTCTGTTCTTTCTCTTTATTTGGAGATAATAAAAAGGTTTAAACACTAATATTCCATGGTCATAATTTATTCCATTGAAATCGTAAATATGATCCAATTCATCAGACCTACAAATTCAAAAAGAAAACAGAAAAAATCTTTTTGAATTTGTAGGTCTGATGAATTGGATCATATTTATGATTCCAATGGAATAAATTATGACCATGGAATCTTACTCTGTCCTGGACATTGAATTCTACCTGGATTCTATCCTCTTGGAATTTTTTTTTTACACCAAATATATATGTATGTGTATGCATATATATTTATATATTTTGCATATGTATGTGTATATTTACCACTAATATTATATATATATACACACACACACACACACACACCCAAGTATAGGATTGGTGTATACGGAATAAATTCCAATAACCAAAAAATACTATCCTTAAAAGAGTGTTCAATTCAGAGTAGAGCAATTATAATTATTTATTTGAAAATTATAACATAAATATGCTATAAAATCACTACAAAAATAGCCATTTTGTTTCAACAGTTCTGGTGTCTTATGTTTCGAAAACATCACTTGATAAGAAACCAGAAGTGTTGAAACAAAATGCCTATTTTTGTAGTGATTTTATAACATATTTATGTTATAATTTTCAAATAAATAATATATATATATATATATATATATATATATATATATTACACACATTATGCCTAAGCAATTTTCATGTGCTGGAAATATATTTATTTATATTTTGGGTTGACACTTTTTTTTTTTTAATTTTTCTGGTTCATGCGAGGTATATTATTGTTGTGATGGAATATTATTGGAGTTAAAATTTAAATGAATTGTAGTTTAATTTTGTATTTGAATTTAAGCTCTGATTAACAGGTAAGATTTAAAATAATGTTGGAAATAAGAAATAGAAATTCTAAATTAGAGAGACGCTTGTTTTGAAAATGGGAATTGAGAAATCAAATATGAACTGAACCTTCTACACAAAATAGAAAGTGAGGTGGAAGATTTTCTTCACTTGAACATCTAAAACGGGATGAAAATGAATCTTCTGGATTTAAATCGCAAAGTACATTACTTTGTGACGACCAATTCCTGTGCTTCAAAAAGAATTATTCTCCATTATTAAGAAGATCAAATTTATTAACATCACTAATAACCTTCAGAAAAAAATAAAAAATAAAGAAAGACATTATCAACCAATTGGATAAGATTATCATCAATTCTGACAAAATGGTCAACCATTACCAGGTCGATGTTTACACATATCACAAAGCCATTAATAGAAAGGTCAACAAGAATTACAAAAAAGCACCCAGGCACTGGGAAATTTCTATCAGCTGAGTAGCCAAAATGACTGCCAAAGAACTAAAATTTGATCATAGGGTCTACAAGTTGCACAAGTAACAGGCTTTCATCACAGTAAAAGACAAAAGGACAGCTTCCCACACAACTCTCAGTACCAGCTAATCAACCCATCCAAGAACAACATCAGTAGAATAAGCAAGCAAAAAAAAAAAAAAAAACCTCAAAAGAGCCTTTAATTATACTAGAAATGCTTTAGGAGTCAACCAGTGGAATAATACTACTGACACCATTGATTGGTTCTATAAAATCAATAAGAAAAGTAAATGCTCTTTCCTACAATTTAATATTTACAACTTCTACCCATCCACCACAGAAAAGTTGCTTATGGATGCAATAAACCTCGCCAACATCTACTGCTTCATAAGTGAACAGGACATTAACATTGTTAAACTGTCTCAAAAACTCATTCTGTTCCACGAAGGTTCCCTGGGTACCAACGATAATAATCCTGATTTTAGTAGAAGCATACAAGCTAGTTGGCATGCTATTAATTTGTCTGCTCAAATCTATTTTTTTATATTAAAAACACAGACCTATATAGGGATGATGGAATTATACTCCTACACAAATCAAACGCATAAAAAGCTGACTGCCTAAGAAAAGATCTAATTAAGTTCTTCAAGGACCAAAGTCAGAGAATTACCACCATCATCAATGCTAAAATTATCATTTTCCTGGATATAACATTTGACCTATCTAATGGGTTTCACAAACCATACACCAAAGATTTATACAACCATAGATATATCAACAAACTCTCCAACCATCATCCTAGAATAGTGAATAACTTATATATATATATATATATATATATATATATATATATATATATATATATATATATATATATACACACACTGTTCTAGTCTTAAGGACATGTGGCATAGTGGATAAAGCTGTTGGTTAGATCCAGTGACAGTGTGAGTTCAACAGCTGGTTAACACATTGGAGAGGTGAATTAACAGGAGATAACTGACATCCATTAGACATGGCATGTGGAACTAGAACAGTCTACCCCAGTGAGCAAAATAAAGGGTTCAGTTTGACATTCCAACCATCTGAAGAAAGCTAGAGCATACAACATCTGAAACATTGTGATAAATATGGCAACAAAGATGTGGACAATAGTCCGAATAATGTAAGTAGTGTACATAATACCTCATCTCAGAAATATAGACAGACACTAGAACTTAGTAACCTTAAAATTAACCTCAAATTCTTAGCAAATAACAATAAGGATGACAACAAGTCAAAACGTTGTAAACACAATATCATATGGTTTAACCTGAGCTTCAACAAAAACACTGAAACTAACATAAGAATTTTTTAAAATCTAATCCACAAGCACTTTAGTCATTCCCCAATACTTAATAAGATCTTCAACAAAAATAACAAAGTTAGCTATAGTTGTGCTAAAAACATCGACCAGTATATAGCCCAGCACAACAATTCTAAACAAGCATTTCAACAACCTTCAAAGCAACTACATCCCCATAGCTAATAACTGCAATTGCAAAAATATCAAAACCTGCCCATTAAATGGTAAACCAAATCATCAAATCATTAGTTTATAAAGTTGAAATCAAACATAGTGATGAGGTCAAGTTTTATGTGGACTATACAGAAAACATTTGGAAATCACGCTTTTCCCACCACTGAATGACATTTGAAATATAAATTTCACAGCAGCACTACCCACTCTAAAATTTTCTGGAAGCTAAAAGGCAAGAATAAAAACCCAACTATCACCTGGGAATTAGCAGCATAAGCTAAGCCTTTTAGAGGGAAAGGCAATAAATGCAACTTATGTCTCTCTGAAAAATTAATAAACTGGGAAA